TTTTTTTTTTTTTTTTTTTTTTTTTGGTACCGGGGATTGAACTCAGGTACTTGCACTTGCAAGGGAGGCCACCAAACCACTGAGCTAAATCCCCAGCCCCAATGCCCTCTTCTTGAGTGAGGGGGACAGCAGAGCAATGTGAGAGGAAGGAGGGCAGCCACTCAGTCGCAGTGACCATTACTTGATTTGTGTCTTAGTCCTAGTCTCAGCTTTGTTTTCAAACCTTAGGACTTATTAAAGGACACCTTTAGGAGAATCTGTTACAGCTTTTATTATAACAGTAGTGTAACCCTGAGCAGGATCCTGGGGCGGCTTGCCAGAAGCATAAACATTCCTGAGCCCCACTGAACCCTGATCTGTGCAGACACACCTCAGTTAGCTGTGTTCGGCCAGGTCCCTCTGAGGATTTCTCATGCACAGAAAAGTTTGAACACCACAGAGGCGCATTTCCCGGCCACCAAGGAATGAGTACAAATGCCACCGGAGTCACTTTTAATATTTAATTTTTCTTTCTTTTAATATTTTTCTTTCTTTCCTGGCTCAATTCCACTCATCCTCCAAGGGTTTGCATATCACTCATTCCAGGAAGCTTTTCCAGCTCCCTGTAGCAGTCAGGACAAGCCAGATCAAGATGCAGTAACGAGTGTCCCCAATGATCGAAGTAGTGGAAAGCAAGTTTGTCTTTTGGTCACAATGCATGGACCCTTTGAGAAGTCACTGCATGGATGACGTCCCTGCCAGAAGCACAGTCACTCTCAGATTCCTGCAGGGAATTTCAGGTACCCATTGACTCTGCTGTCCCCAATTAGGACCTCGTGGCTGACATATACCAGCTACCTTACGAATCGCCACCCAACACATCCCCAGTGACAACCAGTCAAATGATGAGTGAGGAGGGATAACTCAGAGTAGGAAATAAGCCAGTTGCTACAGACAGAAATAACCTGGGTATGCCCTGAACCTGCTCAACCCAGACTTGAGCTTATCAGGAAAGAAACACATTAATCACAGGGCCCCAGCTAGCAGGGGCGTGTGCACACACACAAACAAACGCATACCCTCTTATTGATGTGGCTGTCCTCTGAACCAGGGCCCTGAAAGCTAAAGCCACATAGGGACTCAGGGGAAGAAACAGGCAGCTCCCCACTCAGGCAAGCTGGCTCCCTCCCATCTTCCTCACATTCTGGATGCCATGATCTTTGGAGTTGGGTAGCCTGCTAAGGTGACCACTTTTCTTTCTTTTTTTTTTTTTTTT